TATCGTCGGTGCCGCAGCAAATATACTCGGCTTAAACAGAAATCCGAATTATCCGTGGGTCTCGGCAAGCACCCTCGCTTCAACTCAGAAGAAATCCGGCGAAGCAGGGGTTCTCACAGAAACCTGAAGAGACGAAGAAGTGAGAGCATCGGCATTTCGTGAAGGCGGTCAACGGGAGTTACCGCTGTGGCAGACGACACTGGATGGAATTCGAAGCGCGGAACCTGGAACAAACGCCCTTCAAGAAGAACTGGAGAAAACTGCAGAGGCAAATAACATTGTCACCTATGGCGCTAAACATAAGTCCCTAACTTATCTGATTCGCAGCAAGTCCAGTAAGCCCGTGTGACTGATTGAGACAGCCGTCAGAGAACATAGGCTGAACAGTTTGAAAAGCTCCTAACCGGCCCGCTCTAGTGAATGACCTGGAAATAGAATTCGACGACCGGAAAGAACTGGAAATTGACTGTTCCGTTTCATCGAAAATTGAAATCCGAGATGCGATACGTCTCTATTGAAGTCCGGTATCCTTCGGGCAAGGCGGCATTAGTGCGGCATTTCTGAACTGAATCCATTTGGTTTTGACAGGATCTGACGGAAGTTGGAAATCGCTGAGAACTGGAAACAGGGCGTGATCATTCCCATATTCAACCATGGGAATAGTTCTGATTACGTCAGCTACTGCGGGATCACGCATCTGCATATGCTGGAAAAGTTATTTGTCCGATTTTTTCTCTGAAAACAAGAATGCGGTTGACAGTTTGCCTCTCGTGTACGTACGGCACCGTCGTACTATGGAAAACAATCCAACTGGGAAGGCGATTACAATTATCCTGGCCTGTAGCATTCCTTGACATCTGGGTAGCTTTTGACTCGGCACACTGTCAGTCTATGTGGCGCATACGACGACACTGTGGAGAACAGCAAAAGATCGTGGGATTTTTTAAGGACTGCATGAAAGTACTAAAGGCGTCATCAACGCAGAAAAGTCGTTGTCGGACTAGTTTAGCATCAACCATTGAGTACATCAAGGAGGGGAGTTTTCACCTCCATTATTCAACATCGTGGTGGATTGGTCATGCGGAGGAGCGTCGTTCCGAACAACAGCTAGGGTCTTCTATGACATGACGACCCAGTCGAAGGTACTCAGCAGTACCTGTAACAGATCTCGAGTACGTTGACGACATCGCACTCCTGAGCGACTCTGCAAGTGGCTTACTAGCATTCACAGCAGATTTGTTCAAGGTGGTCTCGAAGCTAGACCTAGAAGTTAGCCCCACCAAAACGAAACTCTTGCGAGCAGCCGACTCGGCTAACGATCCTAAGATTCAATAGAAAGGAACGATCATCGAGGATGACGAAAACTTAAGCACGTTGGCAAGAGATGAAATCCGCGATATCGAAGCAGGGCTGCGCATTGGGCTGGATCTGTGAACTTTGGACAACTCTCTAAAGTTTGACAAGCCTGATCTAACAAGACAAGAGCAAAGATCACTATATTGCAAGCCGTCGTCTTCTCAAATTTGGTGCAGAGCCTTAAAATATCAGCCCCTTTAAAGAGCCATGAAGTGATGTTGGGCATTTTTCAGTAGCGTTGTCTGCGGAATATTCTGAAAGTGCGATGGTTCGTTCGAATAAAGAATTGAAAGTTATTGAAGATGACAGGTTTGAGAATGCTATCTGCAGAAATCACGGTCCGGTGTCTGTCGTGGATGGGTGCGAAGAGCTGGAGAGGGAATGGAGATTTATTCAAATCCATTCTCTTCTTGTAAGCAAAAATGTCAACAGGCACGTCGGAAGCCAACATCGCACTCTAAAGTAGCTGCCAAAAACGAATTTGCTTGAGAGGAGGAAGATAACCCTTTCCGCGGCAGCCAACATCATTTAAATCATTCTGAACGGCCAAAGCTTCAGATATCGTTAGTCTGGGCATTCTGTCCTTGACCCTGATGCCCCAGATGACAATGACAACAACAACATCGGCACGGAGAATCTAATATCTTCAGCTTGAAGGCCACGTGTGACTTGAGACTCTGAGAGTTTCATCATGTTCGCAAGAAGTCTGTGAATCTCATGACGACACGATGGGTTGCTTAAGGAAGTACACTGACAGTATAATTGTCTTAGGTATAATATAGTCTACGTCTGAATTATTGCGTTTTTTATCTCCGATCAACTAGTGATGGTTGGATGGGCAACGGTGGCTGGCACTTTATCCAATAAAAATCTCCGGACTGTAGTTTTCATCGCACGAGGCCTGTATTCGTAACTTATGAGAAACGTGCCTTTCTTACTGCACAGCTCCCTGCATTGTGCTTGCGCATAAATTCCCGGTGCATCCTATCTTAATCCTTGATAAGAACTACAGTTGTTATGAGCTGTTCTATTATAATTATTCGAGTCTACCCGCTGTGCCGCTGTTTTTCAACAGCGCATTTTTGAAGCAGTCCAATGTAAGAGTCGTGCACGTTTCTTGTAAGTGACGGACTGAGGCCTTTCGAAAAGCAGTCGTTCAGTTCGCTGTTTGGTGTCTTATGGATCTCAACAAGATGAATAGTTTAGTCAACTTGTTAGATATTCATTTTCCATTGTTTTTCTTGCAATTATTCATCGTTGTATCTGGGGTTTTGGCAACCGGTCTATACATTAGGGATCACTTAAGCAAATATAACTGACGGACTGATTTTCACACATTTTTCCAAGTCAGAAAAGTACAGTTTCCCTATCAAGATGATTCAGGCGAAGCAGTTCTCGGATCCCTTGCAGCCAACTGCTACGTCAATGTATAAGAGAAGGATCAAATCCGGTACAAATAGGAAAACTACGCTCGCAAAAGTTTGCATTTTTGTAGCATACTTTCAGAGCAAACCTTACTTTAAGTGTAAACTTGCGAGTAAGATGCAATCGTTGCTTTCGTCATGTATGATCGAGTTCGTTTCTTCTGTGTTTGATAAGGTTAGGTACAGCGGTCTTGACGTGCACTTATCTGCATTAAATAATTTATGAAATTGCATCCATTGATAACGTTTATTAAATTTTGCATGCATATATGCATATGTGAAATCACTCTATAAGCAATTACGGATTTATCAAAATCGTCAATCCAACGGCTTGCACCATAAACTATGCCTCAAAATTTCAGCCAATCGAATTTTAGGAAACGTCGCCTATATGATGTGGTTGTTTGGTTTCCCACATAGACATACTGATCTCGTCCCAGACCGGCAACTGGCAACTGTCAGTTGATTGTGCTGCAACGGTGGTCAACGAAATGTGCTTGGTAGCGTACAGTCGATATTCTGGATAGGGTGGATGGGTAAAGACCCTTTCGAACGATAGAGTATATTATCGTAACTGTAGCAATTGTGCATCATGGTATATCGCAGTTTTATGAATTTATTTAGTTAGTTGGCTATTGCGGTTTCTCCGTCATCATAATAATGCATCTGCGTTGCATTATGTCGCACGACATGTCTGTCCACTTTTCAAAAAAGCGACGTCGTTGAGGCGCAGTTGTGGCTGTCAGCGAAGTGCGCTGAATGGTGCAGAGTGGATGTGCTGGATGAATGATGCGGCTACAAAAGACAAAGTAAGACAAACGTGAAACACAAGGAAATCAGCTTAGGGACTAAACACACTGAAAACATGAGAAAAAATAATCAAACAGTGCAAAATACGTATTGCGAATAAATTACCTGCTAATGACAGGCTGAAAAACCGACGGACTAATGCCGCAGCTGCAACATTAAACTAAGAACTATAATTATTGACAGGGAGTGTAATAAACGACATTCATGCTGCCATTTGTGATTGGCTTCTGTGGGAGGAGTGACATTTTGATTCGCTGAAAATTATCACTGGCGTTCGATTATGATATCCTCTTGCACGAAGGGGTGTAAACATGCAGTTTTATTGTGTTATATTCATATCAAGTGAAAATATGTCTTGCAAATCTTTTACAGTATCCTTAGCACCTTGTTTTGATGTTTCTGCGTACCCTAGAAAAACAGCTGAAGAAAAATGGCCCTGCTGGACCATGCTTAAATGGTGCTAACGAGAGGTAGAAGGGAAAAATTTTATAGCTTTGAAGAACTGTCAGATGGAGCACTATGACAAAGGAAGACTCGGTTTCAGCCCATATACTACCACCCTTTGATTCGGCGATTCGCGAATCGGGCGTTTCTGTTCACGGAGAGAGGAACAGCCTCGGTCTTTCTTCGGTGCGAGAGAAGGAGTTGCGAAGATTGTACAAACAGCTGGACGTTGATGGTGATGGCCATGTGAATATTCGAGATCTTGTGGCCGCGTTGAAAACGCGTATGCCTGGTCAGCCAGATATTCCGAGCTATGCAATGGTTTGAATATTTTTTCTTTCAATTGCTCGAAGCGCATATCACCGATCTGTTTTAGCAGATGATGGAAGAAGCCGATATCAACCACAGCAAAACGATCAGCTTTGCTGAATTTGCTCAATATGTGATGGATCAGGAGATGCGACTAGCTGTGGTATTCAATGACTGCGACACAAACAGAGACGGTAAGTTGTTGTTAATAGTAGTCGCGTGAAGCAACGTGGTGCTGTAAAACAGTCCTATGGTACGAGGTAAGACCTGGTATAACTTTTATGGCATTTCGCGTTTCCGGCATATTTTGCCAGAGCGAATTTCTGGCCCATATAGTATCACTTCAGTCTTACGTGTTAGTTCAGAGGCACTGAAGTCACTAATGCCTAACTAAATATTTTCTGAACAGATGCTTGCCAGAAATTCGTTTTTTGCTAGCTACAGTCGTGTTCGGCTTCTAGTCATTCCGTATTTGTGTCGTAGCGGTGCAGACGACTTAAACTTGATGTCCGAATTATTTTGAATTATACGTCCTTTAAAGCGCATAACGCATAGAGAACTGTCGCACTGCATGTCATAAATTTCCAGCGTCGGATCCAGATATACTGCTCTATTTGTATGCACCGAACTGTAGAGGAGGAATTCTATAGTACCATCTTCGCATGAATCTCTCGAGAGGTTGATTCAATTCAGTCAACCAGTCAGTCAATCAGTCAATCACTCCAAAGAGTTTGCTGCGTAAATTAGTCGAATTAGCACGTAAAACTAGAAGCGACGGCCTTTCAAGAATTACTGACCTTCTGGTGTGAAACACTGTTTATAATGCGCGTATAAACAAAACGTTCAGCGATGAGACAATGAATAAAGAACGATGAAGAAGAAACGGATCGACTAATAGAGAGTTAATGCAGATGAATGTCAGATGAGACGTTCGATTCGAATTCGAGCAGATTTCGCGTTTTCCGTTCCTCGTTTTGCGGAGTCCGCGTCATCTACAGGATCACACATTTTCTGTGCTTCAGTCGATCCATCGACGCAGACATATTGAGACCCAGTTGAATGAGAGCTCGAAATGCATCTTTAAACAGCGTAGTGCAAGGGATGGAGATGATCCGTTAAAATTAATTTACTTAGCTTTCCAAATTAAATCTTGCAATTTCACCTGCTACGATGTTTATGATATTTATATATCAGCCTGTTATGCCGACATTATTCGGAACCGATCAAAATTTGCTTAGGGCTACTTTACGAAAGGCATAAATTGTACTGACGAAGCAAATTTGATTAAATGAAGTATGCTAGTTCTAAGAAATAGTTTCCTAATCCCTTTGGGGATTTGTAATGTGGTTAGTCGTTTGAAACAATAGCTTCATTATCGTACCATGATGACTACTGTTTTGCGTGTGCTCTAAAGTGTAGACTTTTGTGATTCGATGACTGCAAGATGGTTTGTGCTGAAAATCTTGTCTATGTTTTAGCTTTGCAGCGAAACAGAGCCAAAAAGACAGTTAATATTGTAGAGACAGTGAATATTGTACTACCGGAAGGCACATTCTTGGATTTTACTACAAATAATCAGTCAGCCATTTTCCTCTGAGCAGGCCTGAATTGAAATGACTGTGCAAGAATACTTTGTAGATCATATACTGAACTAACTGCACACGGCATTGCGGTGTCATCGGCATGTTTTATGCATTATTCGAAGAGATGATTTTGCGTGCGTTAGTGTCTATTGTGAATAGAAGCGGAAATGAAACCACCGGTCCCTATAGAATTCCTAAGTTATTTGGTAGATTAGATGATTAATTCAGTCCGTTGACCGGTGCGAATTGAATGCGGTTAGCTGATAATTGGCTAACCAGCGCAAGGTACTTGAATCAATACCAAGTGAACAAAGAATTGCTCGAGTCTTCTTGCGTGGCCAATAGATTTATTATTCTTAGTCGAGTACGTCCATTTGGTAATTATATTCTTGCTAGCTGACTTTAGAGAATTTTAGCCGTGAATTACGCGAGTCGCACTTTCTGTCTGTCAGCGACAAACACTGTCTGTAAATATTATCGGTTATTTTTAGCACATTTGTTTAATTTGTTTTGTTCGTTGCGTTTTGGTTTAACTTGAAATCTGTCTGACTTATCTGACTTTATGAACTGTGAAATATTGAAGTTGAAGTATTTCTGACCGATTGCAATCGCCGATTGAGTTTTCTCGATCTCGTCACTGACCTCTTTTTTACCCTTTCCCTCTCGTTCCTTTTGCTGTCTCTTCTGACTGTCGGTAATACGCAGGCAGTCAAACAAACCAAGATCGTCTACGAGCAGCAACTTCCTCATTTCGACGTCTACTACACTGATACTCTCATCGCCCCGGCTGCGGTTGACTATTCTATCTATGTAAAATACAGTAAAGAGGGAAAAGATATATTCTTATATGTAAACAGAAGAGGGAAAAGCACAGTCTTGGCAGAGACCAGTGGCAACGCTGAAAGTTCGCTACTTGACGTTGTTTACTCTGACGCAGCACCTGTAATCAGCATGCAGTGATTGAATGGCCCGTAACAACTGGCCATCGATTCCATATGTTCGCTGTTGCGCCCGCGGCTTGTTGCGCGAGATCCGGTAATTAGTTTTCTGAAGGTACACAAAACACATGTAAACTGGATGAGCTAACTCCCACGATTTCTCAACAGTCTGGCATAAGGCGAATTTCTGGTCAGAGGCGCTTCGGTCAGATCTGAAACCACACTACTCTTGTATATTTGGGTAAGTTATTCCGCTTCTTACTAGCACCTTTGCAGAGACTTTACTCTGGAGACTTGATAAGGTAATGCCCCGATAATTGCTGCACTTTCTGTGGTTTCCTCCCATGAATATTATTAGAGCCCATGTTCTCCACTCCATCGATGCCATCCCGCAGCCATTGCAGTTTCACAGACACGTGTTAGCTGAAACATACCTTGTTGGTCTTAAGCTTTAAGGGCATTAAAACCCTCTCAGAACAGATTTCATCGATTCTAGCAGCCTTGTAACTTTTAAAGCTTTCACTGCTTCATAATGTGTGTACTAAAATACTAATGTCCATTGACTGCTGCAGGTACTGTAAGTTTCATTGCAACTGCTCGGGATTAAAGAGTTCCTCCAAGTACTCTGTCCATTGCCAAGTCATCTACTGTTCCTTGGTAAGACAGCGTCTAGACTTGTCCTTCAGGATTGACGCTGACTTTTTTCTAGCTGCCAGACGATGAGGAGATTCTGATCGCCGACTTTTTGAAGTTTGCCGCCCTTTCCCAGCATCCTGCGCAGCCTGTGATAACCTGGTCGACGACCGCGCTACCTTAACGTTCTGTGACGACGATATCATGTTGGGAGGACGGCTGGCTGAGTTATACGTTCTCCTGGCGATGACGACCCCTACCACTCCTTTTTCATTTTCCATTCGAGTTTGGAACCAGCAGTGACGCGGACTTTTGCTAGTTATTCGGATTCGCGTGGTTCGTAAACGATGGCATACTGTAAGCTCACACGAAGCAGTATTTCACATGAACTCTTTGGCGGTGTTTCGATGCACACATCCATTCTTTTAGCTGTCTCACCTGCTCGTTTTATCAGCCTCGCCATCATTATTAGCCGCTAACCAGATTGCACCATTACTGAGTGTTTTGTGTCTTTAAGCTAACGTTTTTTCTTCGTCTTTATCTTCCAAGGCCGCTTCTCCTTATGGGTTGTTTGGGCAGACGCGTCGGACAGTGCTTCC